TATTATTATTATTATTAAATACCAAATATCTCGATAATTGTTTTTAGACAAAAAATGATTGTAAGACCAAAAAGATTTAAGGTGGCTGACTACGTTTGAACGTTTGCTTTGAGCCCACAATGTGAGCATGCTCAAAAACTGCTGAATAATCTTCACAATTTTATTGAAGAACCATACATGTTTTGAACTTCAAGAGGGCAAAACAATTAAATTTTGCACAGGACTCTATATTTTTTTGTTATTTGCCATCTAACCCCAGGCAGTCCAAGTTGTATCATGGGCACTGGCATGTGTTGGTGAAAAGCCTCTATTACAGCCAATCTGAATGCAAGAACTATAAAAACTGTTGTATATTTGTTGGTAATTTTGACTGGTATTCATGACCACTATTCCTTCCCATCATGAAATGCTTTGTTGTGTCACACCATAGAATATCCCAATTGTTGGTGAACACACACTTCTTGGTAAATACGTTCCATTAGAAACTCACCTTTTCAGACAGGATGCTGACTTTGGTTCCATTACAGTTGCATTTTACACACTTCAGCTTGCCAAGGTCTGAGATAGACTCACTAAGACTCTTTGGAGTACAATGTTGTTTGGCCTCTCTAAATATTATTTCATGATTAAAATTAGAAAAAAAAAWATTCTTTTACAGGATTTTGAGTATCACCAGCCATGCCCTGGTCCTTGTATGTTGTGTACATACCAAAATTCAGGGTATTGAGTAATATATACTGTACTGTATAATTCATTCCACTTACCTCCTAGATAAATCCCATACTTTAATATAACCCAGAGAAGTACCAGCAACAAGGTAGTTGCCACACAGATCAAGTAATATTGGATCTCCTTCTGTCTCTGAGAAAGATAGGATCTGCTTCACTGTACCCTATTTAAGACACAAAGAGATTTATGCACTGTAATTCTTTGTTAAGAATTTTCTTAACAGGACACTGTAAACCAACTGTACTATTCATGCCTTTATTAGACAGGAGATAGAAGTAGGTACACTGTAGCAGCTGTAAGCCTCCCTAGCCAAAGGCTTATGTTTATCATTTATAAGTACAGGTGTATACATGAATGTTAACAAAATCAACCTTCACTATGGCTGCATTCAATATTATTCTATGCACACAGCTCTCAATTGAAATGTTAGTTTTTGTGGAGAAAGGAAATATACTATGGGAAACACAGGTGATGTGTGCTGCTAATGTGCTACTTCTCACAGATGTAACCTGGTTTGATTCCCAGGTCGTACTGTAAGTAAGATTGCTTGTTGGCTCTCCCCTTTGCTTCAAGGGTTTTTTTCTTTGGGTACTACAGAGCCCCCTCCCCCGTGTAAAAATCAACCCCTAAATTCCAATTCTATGAGGAGTTAAAAGCTTCAATATGAGCCTTTTGTTTGGTAGACTGAGCAATCACTTTCTGCATGTTTGATCTAAGATAATTATAAATTTAATATCATGTTTTTTAATCCTTGAGAAAAAGCCTGGCTTGTGGCAAGCAAGAGAACATCACATCAATTATGATAACTTACTTGAAAAGTCCTGACTTGTATCTTCCCTGGCTCAATGGTGTATACACTCTGTTCGTGAACTACAGCAACAGGTGAATCCGAGTTGAATGAGCCTAGAAAATAAGAACAGCAGTTCAGTCAAGAGTGATTTAAAAAACTGAATGGTTTTTAATGCACTCACTAATAGTAGCATAGCAAGGGGGCTCAGGGAGACCTTGCCTAGCTTCCCCCCAAAAAGTTTTACCAAGCCTGTGCATATGGAGGCACACTCATTCGTACGAGTGTGTATTGGAGTCAAAATGGTACATACTTTCACACCATTTTCACAAATACTGTTATTAGTACCAGCTGCCAGCTTACCTTCAGCTCTGACCATGGCTTTATCAGGAGACACTTCATAAACAACTATCCTTTTTCCATTCCAAATGGTTGTATGAGACTGCAATGCATCAAATTCAAAAGTATGAGTCTTGGAAAACACAGTTTATGTCTCACTTCTAACTTCTGCGGCAGTTCTTATGGTGGGATCGGCTTGCTAAGGTATGAAATAGTAACTAAGGCAACAAATCCATGCAACTTGTTGTCCAGCATTGTTACACTGCTAGTTACAGAGTGAATGTTGCTTACATGTATTTACTCACTCAGGAGATTGTCAACTAACAAGTCTGCTGGTCATAAACTACCTATTTAAAATTACCTATTTTACAATCCTATGCAATAAGTCTTCTTTAGGAGTAGAAGTTCTCTCTACTCTTTGCATCAGAGAAAATTTGTAACAAGTCTGCTGGTCATAAAGTACATTATTACCCATTTTACCATCCCATGCAATTAGTTTTCTTTAGATTTAAGTAGAAGCTCTCTCTACTCTTTGCATCAGAGAAAATTTGTGGTAATACATCAGAACAGCATTTTCATTGCAAGAGTGTGCAGGACAAGTTGCATGACTTAAATGGTCGCCTGTTTTACTGCACCTTTAAATTCAAATTACACAAGCAGCTACCAAGGACACATACCTTGGTAACAAAGACTCCCTTGATGTGGATATCTGTTTTCAAGTCCTGATTGAATGAGCTAGAAAAGTTCTCCACTGTCAGCTGACTTGGGGATACTTGAACTGCTGCAACCTTGGATAGAATTGGAAATTGTGTTATCTTTAAGTTATTGCTTTGTGGTGTGCTGGAAAAATGCTGACCACAATTGCATAACATTTTATCTAATATTATTATGCACTGATCATGAACACAACAGGTTAAGGGACCAAGCATCTTTATCGGACATTAGGGACGGGGGAATTTTTTTGTTTGCCCCCCCGCCCCCTCTTGAACCTGATTGGCCCTGCAAATCCCATCACCTCCCCCCAGTAAAAAAATTAATGGTTCCTTATCAGCAGTAGTCAATCAAAAACATTGTTAGAGGATGAATGGTCTTCATGTAACACTGCAGTATGTACATGTATTTTGCACTCTTAGCTCATAGGATACATTTGATTGATGGCATTATAATTAATATATTAATGAATATATTTTATCTTGATGAGGGCAGAGCAATGTGGTAAATACCAAAAAGAATAACAATGCAGGTATTTATTGAAAAATTATCAAATAATTACCTCTAGGTTGTAGTGAGCATTCATAACCTGTTCATTTAGGATAATGACAGTTGCTACACAGTTGACAGCCAGTAGGTTCTTGCTGCCTGCAAACTAAAACCAAAAAAGATCATTGATAAATTGGTAATAATCAATATCTTAAAATTTCATTATCATTTGAAATAATTGGTTTCAGTCTAAGTGGTCACCAAACATGTTCTATCAGCTAAACAGCAGTCCAGGATACACTCCAAAGGGATTGTACATAATTTATTGCATTCCACATTTAGTATCGTTTATAACATAGCCAAGATATAACACACACTCTGATTGGTTAATTAGGGTGCGCGAGCATTAATACAAAAATCGATAATGCACTCTGACRTCAGTTGAGTAGCACGCACTATGTACAGTGTAATGCACATTTCATTAGAAAAAATATTTGAATTTTTCTCGATTAACAAAGATTTTTTATTCTTTTGCTGTGTTGCAAAAGCATTGGTTGTCAATTAGCATGCTTCCATCAAGTGTTGGGTGCACTTGGTTGGTTGCTTAAGCACTCAAGACTCTAGTGCTTCCTTCATGCTTAGAAACCTCCTGCATGCAACAAAGACTCAATGGATGCATGCTTATCGATGACCAATGCTTTAATGGTCCCCTACCTGTATTTGAGTGAGTTCTGCTTCTCCTTCTAGTACTGATGCTGGCTGTAATTCCCATCTTGACTGAGCATCAGTCTTACTTTTAGACACCATGTACTTCCACATGGCTACTTTACCTTTGTTGGTACAACCAGCAAGTATACCTGGAAATCATAAGATAGGCTTTCAGTGATAAACATGGATAGACATGGTTTTAATTTCTCAAGCCACAAGATAGATTAAAGGAAAACAGAACTGGTGGTAGTCTGGGAGTATGGAAACTTTTGAGGTGTAAGCAAGATACAATAGACTGAATTGATGAAAAGTGAGCGGTGACGATTGTTACAAGATGTGATATTATACTCAGTTTCCAGTGTGTGATCATGCTACCATGTGCTTTTTGTTTTTGTATGTCTTATCTCTTGAATCTTGGTATGTTTAAAGCGACAACACATAACACTGTCTTAGTCTAATAATACAGTAAAAAAACACAAGAAAAAAGATCCACTTTTGAAAAACCTTCAAGAAGAGACTATGTCTTTATGCCATTATGCCCTTTCCTTCCAATGAGCTATTTTTCTTGTAATCAGATTGGTTGAAGCAACAAAATCTTTAAAATTGATTGTTCAATATCTACAGTACTTTACCTTTGGATTTATTGTAGGTGATGTTATTGATACATTCACCACTCTCGAAAGCACCACCATCGAGAGAAAGAACAAAATTGTCATCTTGATCTAAATCCCACATTCTAGAAACAGTAAAGAAAGTACATTAATATGGTATATTCCAGTTTTGAAGTCTCTGTTGCTCGGTGTTAACCTGGACTTTGTGTATAATATTCATGTGTTCCAGTGAAGGTACTTATGTGGAATTGAATTGTGAGTTTATTTTTGAAGAGGTGCATTCTTTGATTTACCATTGGATTTTCCCCTGATGCAGTAGCTACTGTACTACATATATCTGTTTCCCAGCCCATATCATTTGACCTTGAAAGGGTTGGGTCTACTTGCCTTATGAGACTTTCCCCTGATGCTGTAGCTAGTATCTGTTTCCCAGCCCATATCATTTGACTCTTTGCTGCCTGTCCACTAAGCTTTACCTGTAAAAAAACAAATACCAAATCTACAATGTCTCGTAGCTTGCAGTTACACCTTCGTGGTAGATTTAAGTCATTCCAAAACCAATAACCCAAAATATCACTTTACGATCCACTTTCCACAACGAGGTTTGTCAATCTTCAATATGAGTCGGGGCAAATTGGCTAACTCTCAGATTAAACCCTAAGACATTCTCTGGGCTTATCTTATTCAGGACATGGAGCTAACTCACAGATTGAACCCAGCTGAAAATATAACCTCTGGGTTGATCTAAGTCAGGCAAATTGGCTGTAACTCTTAGATTGAACCCTGGAACAATCTCTGGGCTCATCTAATTCAGCGTACACCACTAACTCGCGATTGAACCCAGCTGAAATAATTTCTGGGCTGATCTAAGTCAGGGCATGGCTAACTCTCAGTTTAGAACCCTGGAATGACCTCTGAGCTGATCTACTGTAAGTCAATGCACATCTAGACTGTAACTCTCACCTCACTCTCTAACCCTGAAACAATCTCTGTGCTTATCAAAGTCAGGTCACGGCTTATTCACAGATCAAGCGCTGAAACCTTTTGGCTGATCTATGTAATGACATGGCTAATGAGGAAGTGGAATTTAGTGTCAGTGAAAACTGAGAAAAAACCTTTGAATCAAGGGAGAGACCTAACCTAACAAATTCTGATCACATTTGATGCCAAGTCCAGGAAGTAATCCTGATTCTTGAAGAATAAGAAAGCCCTAAAAGTTTACCTTCATAATTTCAGTAGTTGAGCCATCTTTTGCTACAGTATGCTGTGATAACATGAGTCCATCTGTAACTGTCACTAAGACGTCTTTGCCTTCAGTGTACAGTAAAGTCTTAACAGGGCCTTCTGTTGTAAATGATTGAGTGCATCTGCCTTTATCATCCATGTAATGAACTGTTCCTGTTTGCAATGCAAAGAAACACTAATCAGAACAAAAATCTTTTTTGCAAGACAAACAAATAAGTGTTTTAATCTTTCTTTAGGACAGGAATTTTATAATTTAGGCGGAATTTCTTTTTTTTTTATTAAACAAAGAATAATATTGATATTAGACATATATTCTATTTACCATTTACTGTTCCTACAAAAAAGGAACTATCTACAGATGCTTGTGAAAGAGCAGCCAGTTTACTTTTCCTCCATGAAGGTTCATCATTAGTCCTATGAAAGGAAAATAATTATGATAAAAAATAACTGTAATTCAACACACCTGGATCTGCACATGATAAACAGGAGAATTTAATATGGACCTTTAGCAATTAATAGTAATGATAAATAAATGAAAGCGTCTTACGATTCTGATCCTGCRGCCTTGAAGACACATGTCTTGACAGCAGATTGGACATTGTGTTGAAAGACTGGGGTTTGATTTAGTCTACCTCTTTGGTCTGCTTTCCATACTACTACATCTCCATTCTTTGAATAAAATAGAAACCAATTTTACAATTATAAATAAAGATGAATACATTAGAGGAAACTCCCAACCAAGGTTTTGCAACATCATATGCTGGTAGCCTTGTTAGATGGCAGAACATTGGAATCCCTATACTCTCGCTGGTAAATCAGGTTTGATTTGGTATTGCAGTACACTGTGTGGCTGTTTTAGGGGACATATTTCCAAGTCTGATGGCAGCTACAGTATTTTGACACCTGAAACAGTCTCAAGATGCACTGCAATGATAACTTGACTCAGTTTTTTGTTGTTATAGTTGTGCAGTTTACAATTTCTCCAATAAAAATACTACAAATTTACAAATTTTACAGCTATTTGTTATTAAAAATAAAGATAAAATACTGTAGATATCTAAATATTTAAGTGTCTAGTTGTTTTTGCAATTTCGCACTAATTGGGGACACTTTTCACTCACACGCACTACCACTKCATTCAATGTTCTATGCACACAACACTCTACTGACATGTGGATTTTTTATTCAATAACAAGAAATGGGAGAAAAATAAGAAAAGGAATAAGGAAATGAACAGGAAAATAGTTTCGTTTTAGTCCTTTAATGACTGTTAAAGAACCTGATTACCTACCTCATCACCAGTAACTAATTTACTTCCATTTGAATTCCATTCAATAATTTTGACTGCCGAAGAGTGAACAGAGGATGCTTCATGGAGTTCATGGTCATGTTCATTCCATACTAAGACATCACCACTTTCCCAGCCAACTGCAAGGATTTTTCTAGTGGGATGCCATGTAAATGCAGTCACTTCACATGAACGTTGGATTGAGGAGTCTTCAACTAGTTCACCCTATATATTATGACAAAGAAAATAAGATGTAACTTAAAATTTAAAAAAAAACGAATTATCGACTAATTATCACATGAACCATTAAGCATATAACACCTATGAAGAAGTGCAAATTAGGATAAAATGATACTTAAATGTCAAACAATAATAATTATAAGAATGAACCATTACAGAATTATTGTAAATCTAAAAAGAGATCTGCTATATTCATAAGTTAATGGATTTTAACATCACTTTAGATTTTTCAAAACCAAAAGTTATCTACCGTTATAATGATATAGCTGCTTTTAGGCCTGGGCTTAGGGTAACTCAACCATTAATGAGGTCAAGAGTGTATGCCAACACCAAAGAAATGTAAAACATGTGCTGTGTGCAATGAAAAACACACAGGGACTAACAGTACAAACATACAGAGATTGACAATGTCAATATCAACTTTACTTAGGCAGAGAGGCCCATTCAGTAACTAGGCTGGTAACATTCAGATAATATTATAAGACAGAACATGAGAGAAGTGTTACAGCATGGAGCAGAGTGCTTTTCAAGCATCTACCAATCCCTAGATTGCCTCAAGCACAGCTAGCAAATTTTTCTATTTCTTTTATAAAATGCAAATTAGAATAGCTGCCCTTTTGGATATGAATGAAGAAATAAAAATATGCTCACAGGATACTGTGTGCTCTCATAATATAAAGCACGTGCCTCAACCAATCAGATTACTAGATTTCTGAAAGATGATCAAGATTTCACTACTAGAAACAGACTGCAGGAATGAGAATTTGTAACCATGCACTAAGTCTATTCATTAATTTTTATATGTACAAATTTGTGACTATGATGTACATGTACAATTGCACCATGTGATAGTCCCCAAGAACCATCCCCAACCACCACTTTAACTATGACAATATGAAGAACACACACTGAACTAATTCAAAATGCTGCTTATGTTTTGAGGGACAAATCACAATATTGTAACATCATTCAGTACTCAACAGGGTAATATTCTATTAATAACTTTAATTGTACTTTATACGACTTCTTTTTTTAATGCAAAAGGCATATTTAGGATGAATCCATAATGTATGACAAAGGAGGGAAGTGGCAGGTGAAATCTTTAATCTTTAATCTTGAAAATTCAATACACCCCTTAGCTTGAAGTCCCCCAAGCAAACATTATGTTTCTGAGACAATGAATACTTCCCGATGTCTGGGATTTTGGCTTCTTTGGCTTACTCTGACAGAAAGAAGCCAAAATGACAATAAAGTTGTCTCTACACAAAGTAGCACCAGCATGGCTGTAACCTTTGATTCATTTATTTCACTTTGAATATTTCAGGTTTAGAATGTTGCAGGTTTCCAGAAACTATATAAACGTAATGGTTTCCAGTTTGAGTACAGTTTAACCCAACAGTTTCGACCACTGCTTTGACAGCCAGGATCCCCAATTGTCCCCACGCAGGCATGGCTCTGTTCTTAAGTACGCTGCACCCTCTCCCTTGGGATCTGCATGGGCCTAAACCCCGCATTACTTTTATAACTCCTGGGAATCTGTTACATGGCCATAAAATACCTATTCCTACAGTATATACCTATAAGCTTACTAATATAAAATCTCACCTCATCCAAAAAGAAGTTAACAGCTCCACCAACTCCAGGCTCACTCTTAGAAGCAACAGCAAGCAGTGGATAGTTAATATGCCAAGCAATGTCTGTCTGGACACCCACACTCGGAGCCTGGATCTTGTGATCAAAATATACAGCCATTTTCACAGAAAATCTTAAATATGAATTAAAGTGTTTCGCCAGGCGATATATGCAGTCAAAAATGAAGTTTCTAGAGTCTCTGTAGAATTGTTAAAACCTTCTTTTAATGATTAATGGTACGATTCTTGGTCAACTTATATATTTCTTAGACAAATTAGTCATTCACTTTGGAAAATTTGTAAATACGAATGACAGCAAGCGAGGTAACATGGCGACTTTCTTTGATTGTTTGTTGTTTACGGCCGTACCAACAGTCTCGTAGTTGACAAATAATACTTTCTATTCCCACCAGCTTCTAGTCTTTGGATTTTTTGAAAGTTTCCTGCTTTTTTCTGGTTGAATTCCTTGAATATTTTCCCAATTTTATCCTCAACGCATGTAAACACAAACTCGGTTGCCACGCAAAGTTCACCAATCCTTCCAACAGGTCTTCTCACATCCAAATGCAAAAACCACCGCTTTTTGGGTCATAAAGCCAAATATAAAGCCTTCCAAGTTTATCTTTCAGTCCATTGTTGCTTAAAGTGTTTCTAATTCAACATTTTCTCCATAAATTCGAAGTAAAATATAATGACTTTCAAACTTGAAAATGTAAATGTCCGCCAATGGCTACCTACGAGTCCCGGATGTATTTGAGCCCGCGGGGGAATAAACTGCGGACATTCAAAAAAACACACGGAAGAAGACTGGGAAGCAATTTATTTTCCCGCCAAAAATAAAAAGACAAAATCCAAGATGGCGGCTGATTCATTAATCGACGCTCCAGAAGGAGTCTGGCAAGAAACGTTTGAATTATACGAGTTGATTTTAAAGAGAAAAGCCAAGGAGAAGAAGAAAGACAAGGGTAAGGAGCTGATAGAGTTAGATAACTGGTAGGTAAGAAGTTTTGTCAATAATATTTTTTTCAAAACCCCCATAGCCCCACTAGAGTAATCATGAACGCTCCCTAAAAGGCCTCCCTAAATGATTTCAATCATCATGTATCATCATTCTGGGTTCCTTCTGCATTTGCCACGAGCCTATTATTTTCTTTGATAGCTATTGTATCACTTGTGGACTTTTGTTACGTAAGCTGTTCTTCTACTCGTCGTTGTAATGTTCTTTATTATGAAAACACTAATAATCCCGAGGGGGACTCTCTTGAAAATTGGGTAGGGGGGCTCGACGGACGGTTTTGAAAATGACCCTAATAGGTACGCATAAATTAACTGAGATGCTGATTTCAGGCCTTAAAAGGTACGACCACATTTAAAATGAAAACCTTTCCAACCATTATAATCTTGTATGAAGTTTGATATTTTTCAAAACGAACAAATCTGACCCTAAAAGGTACGGAGTCAGCCGGGAGTCAGCCGGAGACCCTAAAAGGTACGCAAGGTCTCATTTTCGACCCTAAGAGGCCTGTTGAGCCCTCGTACCCACTTTTCAAGAGAGTCGCCCCAGGTAATAATCTTGGCTTCATGGAAGAGAGAGGCGGTTGATGTTTTGTATTTATTATTTTGTTCCCTATCTTTTATTGTTTGTTTCCTTTTAAGGTTTCAACAGGAGTTACCAGCTGTAATTGACAAAAGAGAAGAAAGATACCTGACCAAGGAAGAATTGATCAAACTCATGCAATGGAAACTATCAGTTAGTATGTCCAAGAAGTAGAGAGGGGCTAATAAATGGTTTTTCTTGGAAGTTCTGGGGGTAGGGGATTTTATATTTAATTATAACCCTACACAAGAGGCCATGCTTAATTTGATGCACATGTAGAGTGAAAGTTCAGCAATGAAATATGTAATTTAAAATGTGGAAGAGCAGGTTTGCACATTCATTGAATCATGGTTATTCCCCACTTACGGCTTTCTGATGGATCACAAGAATAGCCCAAACTCCACGTCTTTTATTGAAATTAATGAATTGAAACTGAAATACTTTTTAAATGTGTGGTTCCAGAAATTATCCATACCCCCACGGATGTTTTTTTTTCAGACCCCCCCTACCCCTGGAAATGCTAATTTTCTTCCATAAAAACTCTGTAATTTTGTTCTCTGACTCCCCCTAGCCCTTGGACATTCCAAATTCCTCTTGTGGGTAGGTGGGTGGGGGGGTATGGACAATTTCTGGAACTACACAATGCATTTACTTTAGAAGTTGTTTATTGTTTTGCATATTAAGATTTTTCATTTTTTGTTTTCTAGAGAGGAAAGTTCAGGCCCCGCCTTGTAGATTTGATTAAATCCAACAGTCCTGAAACAATCTCAGAAAACACAAGAATGGCATTCAAGCTGCTACCTAATATAGAGAAATCAATCAAAAAACTCTCTGAACTTAAAGGTGTAGGACCTGCCACAGCCTCTGGTATGCCATGCTTACTGGTTTTATTTATATGGGGGAACTTGCAGATAACTTGAATCATCGTAAAAAGCTTTGTGAAACTGACGTTTCGGATGTTAGTCCTTCGGAGTAACTTACTCCAACGAAGGACTAACGTCCGAAACGTACGTCTGAAAHGTCAGTTTCACAAAGCTTTTTACAGTTATTCAAGTTATCCACAAGTTCCTGCTGTTTTATTCAGAAATACCAACACAGTCCATGCTAGTACTCTACTAGTTATCACCACTTATTTATATGGGAGAGGGATTGTATCAGATGGTATTGTTTTTATTTCCCAACTTTTATTGATTTCTGCCTCTGGAATGATCAAAGTCAGGGTACGGCTAACTCACAGATCAAATTGGAACTCAGTGTTAGATTTTGCAAATGGAGGAAAACTGAAGAACCCAGAGAAAAACTCTCAAATCAAGGGAGAGACCTACTCACATGTGATGCCGAATCTGGGAATCAAATTCTAGACCCCAGAAGTAAGAGGGGTGTACACTTCTGTGACACCACTCTTGATTCCCTTTATTACATTTTACAGTCAAATACTGCATTACAGAATTGTGGATATCCACATAATCATCAATACCATGTGTCCTGTATCTCTTTTTAAAGCTATACTGTGTGCTGGCTGCCCACAAGTCCCATTTATGGCAGATGAAGCTATGATGACTTTGCCAGTAGGCAAGGGAAAACTAGAATACACTATGAAAGCCTACTTGCAGTACCTGGAACAGCTAAGATCAAAATGTTTATCAAAGCTTTGCAAAACAGGTAATTTGATTCAGCTTGCTAGCTAGCTGGCCTCTTTTTAAGTTCATAAGAGACTATGCTATTTACTAGAGCAGTTTTTGTATGACTGTGAAAAGCTCACAGCATTAACACTGTTGTGACACAGCAAGGCATATGCCAGACTAATCACATTGTGCGAGAATTTACTCTCCATCCAATCAAATTCCCTAAGCACAGCATAAACACTGTGCAGACACATGGTCACACCAGTGGTCACACCAATGTCATGGCACTGGTAGACTAATCACATTGTGCTAGAAAATAATCCACCAATCAAAATTCTAGGAAACATGGTCATGGTAAGGCACGTATGTGGTCCATGAACTTCATTGGAATACACAAATATTCTACAAAAATTCAAGGCTAATCCTGAACAAGAGAGCTCAACACTAAAGTATAGGTTTTATAGATTCTGAAAACTCTCAGCACTAAAATATAGATCTTGTGAAAAAAGGTACATTATATAAAAATATAAATATTTTTCTTATTGAATTCGGTTATCACATAATATCGTAAATTATTATCGTATAATTTACGATATCATGCTCATCCTCATCCAGTAATTGCTTATTATTTGTATTTTTTTGCATCCAAAATTAATAGGTGCATCTTTTTTTGTTGTTTTTGTAGATTCTGTTGCCAATTGGAATGAACACAAAGTAGAATTAACATTGTGGACATTTGTAACAGCATCAAAACTGGCACCTGAGCTACTACCAGAATGTAAGTCAAGTGCTGCTAAACGTAAGAGAGAAGGAACAGGTTCAGGGGAACGGGATGCAAAGAAAACCAAGAAATGAAATAGACATTTTTAACATAAAAATATTACTTATGAGACTGAACTTAAATCAACTGAAAACCTTTTGATCATCCTTAATAAAAATACAATACACAATACAAGAGGTTTTGCACAATATCTGACACTTGACAGTAGCAATGTTAGATGGCAGAAACAATACAATTGTTTTACATGAGAAAGAATTCCGAGAGTAAATGGAATTTATCTTTATTGTTCTGTCATCTAACATGGCTACTTTCAAGTGTCAGATATTGTGCAAAACCTCTTGTACTTTCTATTGTATTTTTATTAAGGATATGGTGTAGTGATCCACAACTACAATAAAATGTATGTACTAAAAAGGCCTTATAATATAAAATACAGTTTGTTGATTGGCAACAGTGATTGAGACAACAGTGAATAAAATCAACTAAATTGAGATTCCCTCCCACTCTTGCCCAGTTACATGAATAGAAAAATGATAGGTTTCTGTTAGCAATTACACCTATCTAATCAACCTAAACAACACATGTTTTGCCTTGAAGATTTCCGTAACAAGACAAGGACGATAATCCAAGTAAAGTCTATTAGCAGCAGTTATATTTTCCTCACCTACTTGTGAAAATTGTGTTACGATTCTTGCAAAGACGAGAAGAGTTATGTAATTCAGGGGCGGCGGAAGCTAAAAATCTTTGGGGGGCACTGCAAAATCTTTGGGGGGGGCACTGAAGATTATATTTTTTAGGGGGGCCAGGCTTGCGCACGGAGCTAAAAATAGATTTTCAAGAAACTTTCATGGGTCACAGGGATATGCTCTCTTACTTGATATTCTCTTGCCGTAAAACAATGACTAAGAAACCAATATTTTTTAGGGGGGCCAGGCGCCCCAAAAACATTTGGTGGGGGGGGGGCACGTGTCCCCCCGGCCTCCCCCACTGGTTCCGCCGCCCCTGTAATTATCATCTGATGTTTAGTATTCAGGTTTATTTCTTTCATCAAAAGTTACAGCGTTATAATAAGATTGATATAAAAAGACGTAGAACCCACGTTTCATAATCCCTATAAAATGCAGAGCGTGAATTGAATATAAGAAAAGCCTAAGTACGAGCGCGTGTTTGTGTATTTTGGTGCGCATCGATAAAAGTGATTTCAGCTCTGAAAGAGGACACTCTTCACTATCAAATAGAATAACATATGTCACGTGCTTAAAGTTACGTTACGATGCGTCTTCTTACTTGGTCATGGCATCTTTGATTTGAGGTCTAGATAGAGTCCATTTATGAACAGTCACGGCTTTAAAGACTTCCATGACAAGATCAGGAAAATAATCCAAGTAATCAAAATTTGTCGACAACATTTCCTTGATTTCTTCTGATAACGTGTGAGAATGAGCGTAGCCATTCCGTATCAGTCGCACTAAGTCCACGATAGATTTAGTGTCGTAGTTCCGCCATTTTTTAGCAGTCATTTCATGGTAAAACTTACGCATGAGATTATTTCTTGAATTATCCCATGACTTACATTTGACTACTCTTTTGAAAATCATGGATGAATTCAAGTCTTTTTCCAAATCAGTCTCAGGAAAATTCCTATAAGAAGGCCATAATTCAAATTCTGGCTGATTTCCGACAGCAACGAGGAAATCCTTTCTTTTACTATTCGTCCAGAACAACGGATGAGCTAGTGCATCAGTTGGGCTTATTCTTTCCCCGACACTTTTCTTGAGCATCTTTTTAATCAGGTCTGTTGCTTCAGGAGAGATGTGGTCATCCCATCCTTGCATTTGATCTTTTTTTATGTTATCTTCTATAAGGTGCAGAGCTGATGAAGATGTAGGAGAAAAGGGATGCTTTTGTTCGGACAAAATGTAATGCAATAAAAGTCCACAGGAAAATGTGTCGGAATTCTCTGTAAAATGTCCCTTAGATTTGGACGTCGACGTCAAAATTTCTGGAGCAATCCAACCTTCGGTACCAACGATTGTACGTGAACGGCTGAACTCTGTAGTAGAGGAGCCATTAACGCAATCGCGGCTTAGACCAAAGTCAGCAATTTTTAAGCAAAGTCTAGGATGTGTTTTATATAAGATGTTTCCTGGCTTGAGGTCACGATGGATTATTTTTTTCTCATGTAAATATCTTAGTCCCTTAATCACATCTTTGCAAAGTAAGACACTTTTGCTTTTGTCAACTGCGCCTTCGTTAAAGTAGTGTTCAAGATCTCCCTCCATCAGCTCCAATACTATGTATGAAAAGTGTATGTCTTCTAAGAAACACACATAACTAACGACTTGTTTGCAGTCGGCAAGTTTAGCAAGGTTTGTTATTTCACGCTTGTCTTCTGGTCGTACCATGCGCGACTTTTGAATTTGTTTTATGGCCACTTCCCTACCATCATTCTCATTGATCCCTGTGAAAACAAGTCCGTACGAGCCACGTCCAATGTGGTCTTTGTGATACCAAAATGAGCCGACTATCTCTCTCTCTTGTCCTCTTGAAACTTTGGTCAACGTGGTTTCGTACCTCTTGGAAACAGAATCCCAAGGAATGCGCTTAGAGATTTTGCTCACATCTATGGGTTTCGTTAAGAGGTGTTTGAGTTCAGGACAGGTCTCCGCTAGGTCAAGGCATGACTCACCAGTTGAGTCAGGAATTCGAAAATTGGCTCCATATGAAAGAAGCATTTCAGCAATTTCGCAGTGGACTGAATCGCTAGGTACCAGATCTTTCCAGTTTTCTGCCTTTCCAGTTTCCTCTGTACTACATTGTGCAACTGTTTTTCTTTTTTTAAGCATGGGTTGCGTCTTGCTATACTTTTTAAACTTATCGAAGAATTTTCTTTTTGTTCCTTTAGAGGAATGTAAACTCTCACTTAAACTGTCATCTGAAATGTCAATTGAACTGTCATCTGAAATTGAACTGTCAATCGAACTGTCATCTGAAATGATGTCACTTGAACTGTCATCTGAAATGATGTCACTTGAACTGTCATCTGAGCTACCAAGTTCTAATATATTCTTGCAGCAAAAGCGAAGAGGCACATCTAAGTTCGCTATCTTTTTTCTTGAATTCAAAATAATTTTGACTAGATTAGCTTTCCAACGTGTTTGTGTCGACTGGTCCTTGCAAATAACGTTTAAAAGTGGATAAGCAATTGTATCAGATTCAATGTGTTTGTCTACACAAATGACTTCAATTAAGGCTTTGGCAAGAACAAAGGCTTGGCATTTTATCATGATACTTAGAACAGAGTTATTATCTTGGTCAACAGTCCATGGATGAAGTTTCATCTTTATAGCAGTTCTCCAGAAGGTTTCTGGGTCTCCTAAAACGTCTTGATAAAAACAGTCAGTTCTCCGAAGAAAAGTGCGTCTTTCCGCTGCAGCAAATAGGGGTGGGTGTCCTGACGAATCCACAGCATCTCTTTTCGCTCCAGCATCTATCAAAAGCTTTACAGCACTCCAAGTCTTGCACTGATGCAGAGGGGTTCTTTCATCATCATCTCTGGCATTCGGCTTTGCCCCACATTTCAGGAGAAGCTGTAAAATGGCTTTCAAAAGTTTTTCAAATGTGTAGTTATGGGTAACGTTACTCGAATAGTTTTCTGAAGATGGTAAAGTGAGCGATGCCCATGAATGAAGTAGCAAGTAAAGATGGCCACTGCTATTTTTAAAGCTTTCAGCTTGTTTACAATTTGCATCTGAAAACAATTGCAGCAGATTAAACATTTCGTTTAGTACTTCCTTTCTTACAGCTTCATCTTGCAATCGAAGACCTTTTTGAAAAAGATCAATTATCAAATGGAAAACAGACTTTCCGTTTGGTAATGTATCGTTGACCTTCGTTCCACAGTTTAGCAAAAGTCTACAGATTTCTACCAGCATCTTTACATCATCAGTTCTTAGTAACCACTTCGTATGCAAACTAAGTTCTGACAAGCAAAACAACAGAGGCGTTTGACCTTGGTGGTTTTTGATGTTCATTGTTGTTCCATGCCTTCTTAGTAGGTGACATGTTTCCATGACCTCCGTTTGAGATACACCGACAAATGGCAGGAGAGTTACATAGTGAAGTAAAGTGTTGCCATGCGAGTCAACACTGTTTGGATCAGCACCTAAATTCACAAATGAAGGAACTACTTGTGACAGTTGCTCACTTGAGATCTGTTCCAAAATGTTTTCTATGGTTATTTTAGTTTGATCATCAGCCCTCGACAAGAACTCAGAAAGACATTCTTTGTGCACAAAATATGAATAGGAAGTTTTGACTTCACCCAAAGGCGTACACATAAGCACAATTTTGCAAAATAGTACTTCTATTAGTGCTTTTACCATAATTATTTTCGTAACACCTTTTCTATGAAGCAGGTTCAATTGCTCAGTCAGATCAAAACGATAAAAAGGATTTTCATTGTGCAACATCTCTTCAATAAAAAATGATAAAATGCTTAAATTGCAATTGTCTTTCAAATAGAGATTTCCACCATTGTAGAGAAGGTAAAGGGCAACCACTGGTGAACGCTGCAGAGCATAAAATAAGGGCGTTCTTCCATGGTGATTTCTCACATTTATCAAGGCTTTACCTTTCTCCACCAAAATTTTTACATGAATGTCCAAATCCAATCTGACAAAATGAAACAACGGAGTTTCGCCTTTGTTGTCAGGTAGGTTGACATCACAACCCTTGTCAATCAATAAACCAATGGAATCATCTGAAGAAAAACGTGATACGCAAAACAAAGCGGTTTGACTATCATTATTAACTTTGTTGATATCAGCACCAGCATCAATTAATGCCTGCACAATAATTGCATTGTCATTTGTGACTGCACTAAACAACGCAGTTTTGCCATCATTATTAGCCTTGTTGCAATCGGCACCAGCATCAATTAACGTCTGCACAATAATTGCATTGTCGTTTCTGGCTGCACTAAACAAGGCAGTTTGGCCATACTTATCAGTCTTGTTGACATCAGCACCAGCATCAATTAATGCCTGCACAATAATTGCATTGTCGTTTGTTACTGCACTAAACAAGGCAGTTTGGCCATACTTATCAGTCTTTTTAGCATCAGCACCAGCATTGATTAACGCCCGTACAATACTTTCATTGTCGTTACTAGCTGCACTAAACAAAGCAGTTTTGCCACCATCGTCAAACTTGTGGACATCAGCGCCAGCATCAATTAACGCCTGTATAATGCTTTCATGGTCGTTACTAGCTGCACTAAACAAAGCAGTTTTGCCATAATTATCAGTCTTGTTGACATCAGCACCAGCATTGATTAACTCCCGTACAATACTTTCATTGTCGTTACTAGCTGCACTAAACAAAGCAGTTTTGCCATAATTATCAGTCTTGTTGACATCAGCACCAGCATTGATTAAC